ATGTTTTAACAGTGTCTTGCTGTGAATAAAACCAGGTAAATCGTTAAATGTGCTTCTTTCTGCGGTACTTGTCACAAATTCCTCGTTTTATAGATAGATGTTCATAGTTTTGTTTCATCTTGAAAAAGTTTGTGCATTATTTGGGATATAATTCTTAAGGCTAGCACAGCATTCTTGAGCCATATAGTTAAATTTGTTATTTTGATTTTATATTTGTGTTTCTAAATGCACAAAAAGTGATATTGTACTTTCGTAAAGTTGGGAAGTAATGAAACTGAAGACGGGTTCTGATTTAGGATTTCTCAAATGTTTAATTATCATAGTTTATATGCTCCTTAACTTTTTTATTGCGCTGCCATTCATCTTGAAATCCAAGGTCTGAACCAGTCTATAGTATTACAGTTAATGCATGATAAATAACTTAAGAAATTACCTCTTTTATAAGCTAATCCTAACATAACTGGGACCAAAGCACAGAAAGGGAATTGCCAAACAATACAGAAATGTTTAGAAAATTGCTTATTATCCTTTCAGCATCTTAGCTTATACAGGCCGGACGTGGTTTAATAGCTATCATGCTCGAATTGTAGATCCGAAAGTTCGTGGTTCACGGCCTATCGCTTTTAAAACGTGCTTTGCCAGAATGTGCCAGTGACATTCAAATCTTCCTATTCGGTTAGACAATTGTAGCCCAAAAGTTGGCGGTGGGTGTTGTTGACTAGATACACTTCTTTTATCACCTCCAAATAAGGTACTGTTGTAGCTTTGTGCGAAACAAAAGGACAGACCTAGTTTATTTCTTTTAATTATATTGCCTTTTGGTTTTCTTATTCTAAATTTAAATAGCACCTTTCTCAAAGAAGGAAGCTAATGTAAAAGTTATGATTAGGCCGCTCTTTTTTGCAGTTTAAATCTATGTGAATGTTCTTCTTTGTTATTAAATCTGTCCCTTACTTAAAACGAATCACTGTTTTTATCATTATTAACATGTAAGGCACCAAGTGTTTACATGAAATAGGAAATTATCAACTAGGATTTAATAGGAATAAAAATGTTTATCTTTTTAATGATTACACTAATAACATAGTTACAAACTTATTTGCCGTTAAATCGCCATTCAATAGAACAGGTAACAGTAAGAATATTTTATGTTCAAACAGAAGTTATCGAAGCAAGACTTGACTAAACATTTTCTGTATTTCATACTGTAGAAGATCTTTTAAACTTTCTCTTTTTATGAAGAGAAGGAATTTGAAAAAAAAAAAAACGAATTGGATACCTGCATTAATGTAATTAGAAGCTATTTTACTAAATTTGGTCTTTCTTAGTTGCAATAGATTTTTTCAGTAAAACGTTTGGATGTTTTCTAGCATGGAGGACTCGTTCCTAGTTCATCTGAATTGACTCTATTGATTTTCTTTGTTTGTAACATTATTTATATTATACCGAAAGAAGTAAAACTGAACTCACAGAGTCTATCACAGTTAATATTAAATTTCAATCTGACTTTGCGCGTACGAAAAGAGAAAATACCAAAGCACTTGTTTCATCCAAGGAAATATTGTACTGCTGATTACAAAGACTATATAAGAAAATCAAATTTATTGGTGAGCATTACGGCATAACTTATGATTTGCCCATGTAATATAGTTACAAGCTTATTTGCCGTTAAATCAATAGAGCAAGTAACAGTAAGAGTATGTTATGTCCAAACAGAAGACACTGAAGCAAAACTTGCCTATATACCTTTACTTCATAAGGTAGAAGATAATCTAAACTCTAAAACCAGGTTTTAGAACAGTCGTTTCTTTAAGTTCTATTGTTGAACTATTATATCAATACTTACAGAGAATCATTGTTAAAGTCTTAGAGTTCGATCAACCTGCTTTTACGCCAGCTTTATGTTATAATATTGTGCATAAATATTTCTTGAAACGAAATTATTATATCATTTAAATTTTCAGGTATGTTCATATAACTACATTATATTTCAAAAATAGATAATTTTGTAAACACTGTTAGATTTCTTTTAGAAAGTAGTCTCATTAGCTTTTTTAAAATAAAATATTGTGTAAAAGGTATAGTACCACAGCTCTACATTAATCCCTAACATTGCAAAGCTATTTCATGTTACTAGTTGAGTTTAACCATTTTGTTTAAAAACAATATTCTGGTAAAATGAAATCAGAAATTGTTAAGCAGCTTTTTTTATTGCAGTACGAGTTCAACAATCTGACTCTCAAGCTTCTTTGATTCTTATGTTCCATCTACAATCTGGAACAAAGCAACAGTTATGTTACGTATCTGCTTGTTTGATAATTTCAGTTAGAAATTCTTTCTGAGGAACTTCAGTTATAAACGTCCTTTCTTGAATAACGAGTTTATTCTTTCTCGATACAACTTTTTGTAATACACATAATTTCCACAATCACTTTAAACTTAACAATCTTTATAAATCACAGTGATTCACACACTTTATTTACGGTGCCTACTGTCCG